CCTCCCTCACCATCACCCCCTCACCAACCTCTGTTTTAATCTTTCAAGATTCTTTTCTTTCAGGAAGTGTTCCGGAGGATTGGAGGAAGGCAGATGTGGTTCCTATATTCAAAAAGGGTTCAAAATCCTTGCCTGGAAATTATAGACCTGTGAGCTTAACTTCTGTGGCTGGTAAAATATTTGAAAGGTTATTAAGGGATAATATTCAAGAATTCCTTGAGAAGAACATGGTTATCAGCAAAAATCAGCACGGTTTTATGAAGCACAGGTCATGTCAAACTAACTTGATTGCGTTCTACGAAGAAGTAAGTAGAAGTATAGATCAGGGTGTTGCAGTGGATGTGATCTATTTGGATTTTGCCAAGTCATTTGATACAGTTCCACACAATAGAATAGTGTTCAAACTCAAGGAAATCGGTCTAGATGAAAATGCTTGTTCTTGGGTAGAACATTGGCTTAAAAACAGAGTACAAAGAGTTGTCATTAATGGTAAATTTTCAAGCTGGACAGAGGTGGCAAGTGGTGTCCCTCAGGGGTCTGTTCTGGGACCCCTTCTATTTAATATGTTTATAAATGATCTTGAAGACAGCATTGAAAGTCATGTTTCAGTGTTTGCAGATGACACAAAACTTTGTAAAATAATACAATGTGAGCAAGATATTACTTTGCTGCAGAGGGATTTAGATAGACTGGGGGACTGGGCACTCAAATGGCAGATGAAATTTAATGTTGAAAAATGCAAAGTTATGCACTTCGGCGTAAAGAATACACAAGCAACGTATACCCTTAATGGAAGCGAATTAGGGATAACAACACATGAAAAGGACTTGGGAATTGTTATAGACAACAAACTATGCAACAATGTGCAATGTCAATCAGCAGTGGCCAAGGCCAGTAAGGTATTGTCATGCATGAAAAAGGGCATTGATTCTCGGGATGAGAATATCATTTTGCCTCTTTATAAATCACTGGTAAGACCACATATTGAATATGCTGTGCAATTTTGGGTACCTGTTCTAAAGAAGGATATTATGGCACTAGAAAACGTGCAGAGGTGGGCTACAAAATTAATAAAAGGAATGGAACATATCAGCTATGAAGAAAGGTTAACAAATTTAAACCTATTTAGTTTAGAAAAACGTCGCCTGAGAGGGGATAGGATAACATTATACAAATATTTTCGGGGCCAATACAAACCATTGTGTGGAAATCTATTCACAAACCGGACTTTACATAGGACACAAGGCCATGCGTTTAGACTGGAAGAAAGAAGATTTCGTCTAAGGCAAAGGAAAGGTTTTTTTTATTGTAAGAACAATCAGAATGTGGAATTCTCTGCCTGAAGAAGTGGTTTTATCAGAGTCCATACAGATGTTCAAACAGCTACTAGATGTATACTTGCAAAAACAGAATATTCAAGGATATAATCTTTCAATGTAGGGTAATAACTGCTTGATCCAAGGATAAATCTAACTGCCATTCTGGGGTCAAGAAGGAATTTTTTTTCCTAGCTTGTTGCAAAATTGTGTTTCAAACTGGTTTTTTTTGTCTTCTTTTGGATCAGCAGCAAAAACCAAATGTGAGGAAGGCTGAACTTGATAGACGCAAGTCTCTTTTCAGCTATGTAACTATGTAACTATATGTAACCCCCCTCCCTCACCATCAACCCCCCTCCCTCTAACATTACCACCCCTCCCATTTCATAACAGCTGATGATCTACCTGTGGTAGTTTAATCAAGTGATTTGTACAGATTTTTGGACTTGGAACAAATGCATGGCTATAAACATTAGTCTCATAAGGATGTAACCATGTTTGATATGCCAAGGTATCCTCACTCACCATCACCCCCCTCCCTCACGATCAACCCCCCTCCCTCTCACTATCACCCCCCCTCCCTCTCACCATCACCCCCCCCTCTCTCACCATCACACCCTCTCTCAATATCAACCCCCTCTCTCACCATCACCCCTCTCCCTCTCACCATCACCCCCCCTCACTCTCACCATCACCCCCCTCACTCACCATCACGAGACATTAGTCTAATAAGGATGTAACCATGTTTGATGATATGCCAGGGTATCCTCACTCACCATCACCCCCTCCCTCACATCAACCCCTCCCTCACACCATCCCCCCTCACCATCACCCCCTCCCTCTCACCATCAACCCCCATCCCTCTCACATTATCCCCTCTCACACCTTCACTCCCCCTCCCTCTCATCATCACCACCTCTCCCTCTCACGTCACCCCCTCCCTTTCACCATCACCCTCTCACACACACATCCTCCCCAGACACACTGTTAGCATCCACTCATACTGTCACCTCCCCACACATGGTCACCTCTCCCTACACTGTCGTCAACCCCCACACTGTCAGCTTCTTCATGCATCCACACTCACATTAACCACTCCTAATCCTGTTAATCTTGTTAATTTTGATTCCCATTGGCCTCCCTGTCTTAACTGATTCCCTAAAACCATCTGACTTTGTCTGCAAAGTAAAGAAGAACTGTTGTTGCTCGATGATAAAACTGTTAACTCCCCGATAATGTTTGACGGCCCTCTCAAGGACCAACTCTGGAGAGAAGAGGTCTAATGTACCATTAGGTTGTCCCATTTGTCCTGAGGGATTCCTAGTGACATTGTCCTGGTGTTAAGTACAAAACCCAGAAAGAGAATACTCTGAGTAGGAACTAGGACTGATTTCTGTAAATTCACTACAAAACCTAGGTCGTGAAAATGGGAAGTGAGAGAGTCCCTCTCAGAAGCAAGAATTTCCCAGTCTGGATTAATCGTAAGAATGTCCTCTAGATTGCACGCACATATGAAGCCTCTGACATGGGCTATATTTGATTGAATTATTCTGGAGAATGCATATGATGCATTGGATAGGCCAAAAACCACAACAATCCACTGCCCAAGCTTTCCTTTCTTTAGAAACCTGAGGTAACACCTGTGTTTCTTGGATATTGGGACTAAATGGAAGGCATTTTTTAGGTCTAATATTATGCAGAAAAGAAAATGTACTAAGCCTGGAAGATCTGCTAAACGTTCCATCCTGAACCTTTTCTCTTGATAAAAGCATTCAGAGACTGCACATTTAGAACCATTCTTCAGTAACCATCTGATTTTGGGATGGGGAACAATGGACTGACCCATCCTGAGATTGACATGCCTGCCAACCCTATCTTCCTTCGAATTAAAGCCAGAGACAGCGGGGCATCTAGCACTGGGTTCACCTCTCTACCAATTGCAACCCTCTGTACTGGGAACCTTAAAAGAGGGAGTTGAAAGCCCCTTTGAAAAATGTAATAGCCATTTGTTTGTAAAAATATCCTTCCAACTCAGTGGCGGGTGAGGAGGCACACTTACTTGAATACATAGATCTTCTCTTGGCAGATAGACCATCTCTGGTATGAGTTCCTCTGCCACCATCTGAGAGCTTGTGTTTTCCACTGTAGTGGCAGAACTTGGCCTGGTGAGACACTTCGCAGGACGCCCTATAGCCCTTTAGTGGAGACCATCAATCTGAAAGGGTTTCTTGTAGCCTGGAAAAGACCTTTTAAGCTCTGACAAAATATATCCTTACCTTAAATTAGCCTTTAACCTCCTGTATAAAGGAGGGGCCGAAAATTCAAGATACTCCAAACTGGGGAACTCATGGGTTTTAGGGGCTAAATCTGACCATCCAGCTGTTTTTTTGCAAATATTTGTGATTATAATTAGCACAGCCCAGCTGGAAACTTTAAATAAAGTCATCTTAGACACCAGCAAATATGAAGCAGAGGGAATCTGAGCAGTGCTGTCTCTTTGTGCTTTATCCAGCATCAATGATACTGGGCTCACAGCATTTGCGATTTTAAAATCTATATTATGCAAGGTCTGGTCTGTAGGATCTGTAGATACACTGCTTCATGTGATAGCAGAGCAGGATCTACCTCAGGAGCCATTCAAGCCTG